GGTCGTCATGATGTTACGTGTGTTTTTCACTTTAGAGCAAGACCCGCTGTTACTCGCCGAGGGGAATGGAGATGTCCTTGCACCAGTCTCACCTCCTGGAGCAGCTAAACGAGCAACGGAAGGAAGAGCTGTTCTGTGACTGCAGCATCCGTGTTGGCAGAAGGGTCTTCAAAGCCCACCGCAATGTGCTCTTCGCCAGCAGCGGCTACTTCAAAACGCTCCTTTTGCAGAGCTCGAAGCAGACGAGTCAGCCGACGACGGCTACTTTTAAGGTCTTCTCTGCGGAGACATTTCAGGTTATCCTGGACTTCATGTATTCAGGCAAACTGTCCCTCAGCAGTCAGAATGTCACCCCAGTGGCGTCAGCTGCTAGCTATCTGCAGATGACCGATATTCTGAACATCTGCGAGACCTTCAAGTCCTCGCCGGACGTCAGTGTAAAGGACAAGGATCGTTCCCTCAGCCTCTTGGCCCAAAGTACGAATGGTGAACAGGCCCATTCACCTCCTTATCACCCGAGATCCAAAACAAAGCGTAACCCCAGGTGTTGCAGTCCAATCCCAGATGATAAAAAGACTGATTCCAGGCCAATCCCGGATAAAAAGACCGCTACAGGGAAGAAAAGCTCCTTGACTAGTGTCAGCAGCTCAGGGGTGGCTCCCCAGCAGGCTGTAAGGCAGCCACTGGAAAGAGGCAGGAAAACAGGCTCAAGAGGACAGTGCCAAAAGGCGCTCGGGCTATCGCAGACCACTGACGTGGTGCTGCCCCAATCCAACAAAGCCAAGGCGGCTGCCCAAGGTGGCGGGGAGTCAGAGGCCAGCCACGTCGCTGGGCTCAAGGAGGAGGCGGAAGTGGATGCCAAGGAGGATGCTGCTGGTGAGGGCTACGGGAAGAGTCACAGATCAGAAGCTACACCGGGGCCATGGTCGCTTGCTCAGCTAAAAGCGCTTTCAAGAACTCCTGATTTAACAGCATTAAAAGCAGAACAACTGTACAGCTCAATGCCCACCATTTTAGGGGTAACGAGTAGTTCTAATGAAGGTAAAAAATACATATTGTTTTGCAAAGTTTATCTTTATTTGGAAGAATTCTGATGATCTTTTGAGAGGGCCTGTATGGCTGCATGCAAACCAAACCCATGACCATGCGCGCAGACTGTTTTCCTCATCTGTTCGATTACAGTGCCTAACGGGTTGAGCGACTTTGAAGCCAGAACGGGGCATGAGAATTAGAACCAGAGTTGGGTATTGTGTAAAGTTAAAACCATACAGGGCAGACAAGCTCCGACTGGGGTTTAAGGAAGCCTCAAGAGAACTGAATTTTTCGTGGCAGCAATAGAGGCACTCAGCCCAAATACAAGCCAAGTCCTTCACCAGAGGCCGTGTCACTGGCAGGATGCTGCACTTCCCTTACGGTCCAAACCAGCCCCAACTTCGTGCCAGTCTGGCCACGCTGCATAAAGCGTCTCAGGTCCTGAGGGCCTGGCAGCCTCTGCCGCAGATGGTGGGATAAAGCTGAGAGGTGTTTCTCTGGAAACTAACCTACTGATATTGTGTCAAACTGTGCCACCTCAAGGTGCTGGGCATCCTAGTGCGTTACGTAGGGATTATGAGCGTCAAAGCTTTAGCTGTTAACTGATGGAAGAGGCAGATATGATGTCTCTATATTACAGCCGTGTGTGTATTCACGATCACGTGTCTAAAAGTCACCCTAAGAGAGAATACACTGACAAATGCCATTGAACACGTTCAGTAAGAAACCGTGTGTTTGCGCGATTGTATCTTGGGATTTTTCCTGTTTAGTGACAGACCAGAGGAAAAATGACCCGCTGCTTATTTAAACTTTAAAATAATCAAACTGCGACATAAAGATGATGATACTTGACATCTTACCTGTATTGCTCTGTTACAGGTGACTCCCCTCTGATAAAATTCATATGCCCCTTCTGCACGCAAATGGTGAAGCGACGAAGAGACCTGAAGCGACATCTTCGGCGTCACACAGGGGAGCGCCCGTACGCCTGCAAGACGTGTGGGGGAAGGTTCACCCGATCAGAGCATTTGCAGAAACACTTGAAAAATGTACGCCGTTTCAGTCAGTCAGCCTAGAAAAAACCCAAACACGAGATGTCACTGTGCCATCGGTACCCGCTGTTCGGTCTTTCCAGAACAAACCCCAGAAAAGCTTCCCAGCTGCATGTCAGCTTTCATTATTCATTCTTTACATTGGCAAATTGTATTTCTAATTTCATTTTTTAGGACTGTCGTGGTTTAACTCCGGCTAGCAAAACCCCCCGAAGCCGCTCTCACAAGTCCCCCTCCCCTCCTCCAGCGGAGGGGAAGAATCGGAGGAAAAAGAAATAAGGAAGCTCGTAACATTGAGATAAGAACTATTTACTAATTAAATCTAAATTAATATATGCAAGTACTACAATAGTAAATAATTAAAATAACAGAAAATAAAACATAGGATACAATATGATACAATTTCTCACCACGCACTGACCAATGCACAACTAGGTGCCGAGTAGTGAGAGTCAGACCCAGAGAGCCTGAGAGCAGCAGCCCAAGAGCGATCGCAGGCCGAGAGCTGCAGACCAAGGGCCACAGCCCGAGCGCTGCCGCAGCAGATTCTGAGCGAACCTTAACAGCAATAGCACGACTGGGAAAACTAAACCAACCCACCAACTCCCTCACGAACGAGCCAGCACAGGAGTTACCAAAGCAAGGAGTCAGAGAGAGTGTTGGCAAGTGCCAGGAAGTGAATGCGCAAGAGAGTAAGAGAGAGAGTAATGGCACCCAGACCCCCTCCTCGCCATGCCCTGAGCACGATACTGTGGAATGAAATACTCCCTTGGTCAGTTGGGGTCAGCTGTCTGACCTGTGTGTCCCCTACACTGCCCATAGCAAGACAGCAAGATTCAGTGAATTTTCTTTTTCTTTAAAAAAAAGTCTGCTTTTGGATAAACACTGACATTTTCAAATTTTAAATCTCTTTAGATACACCAAGAGAACAAAATGAAGTGCAGAGAATGCAAATGCCACGTAACTGACCTGACGGGCTGCATTATTCAGCAAGGAGCAAAGCGCTACAGACTGTGCTATAAGTGCCTGCAAGAAAGTAATTTTGTCAGCAAACCTGACAAAACAGGGGTAGAACATCCTCCTGCCTCCTGCAAGAGAAAGAAACCTTCCGAATGGGCTTTGGAGAAAGATCAGAAGTCGGAGGAAGGGGCAGTGGCGGGGGAGCCGTGGAAGGTGGATGCCCAACACAAAGACGATACTGCAGAGGGGGTAGTTAAGAAGGTAAGAACAGATCTTGGATAGAAATATTTGTGCCTTTGTTACTCTTGTATTCAAGGTGAAGTTACTTGTGTCCTGCTGGCTTGTAACTTTCATTAAAATCAAATATTGCTAAAGTTATGAGAGTAAATCGGGACTACAAACAAGTTGTTTAGTACTCACAGCAGCGTAGCTCCTTCCCAATATCATCCAGAAAGTACTTATCTGGAAACTGTTTAGAAGAATTGGTCTATATTTCCTCAAAAGACTTGTTCAGAGCTCCTGTTCATAACAGGGAACCAGTCTGCCATTCTACAAAGGTTCTGTACTAGACAGGCTTTTAAAACACACGTATTGATAATTTGCGTTGAAGAAGTCTTACGTTTGTTAGCCGCCTACTTTAGTAAGGCATGTTTTTGTTGACACTGTAGCTAACAAGTACATACACTTCAGAAACTTCCCAGAAAGGAGAAAACAAGTGGAATTCTTCCTGCTAAAGCACCTATTTATGAGAGCTTTGCCTTCTGAGCGAGCTTACTGCTGCCTGCAGTTCAAAGTCATGGTTAGTTCTGAAGAGCACACACAGAGTGGAACAACGAACAAAGCAGCTGCCATGCAGGTGGACAGCGTGGGGGGTTTGTACCCTCACTTTTAAACTGATACACTAATGGTTCCAAGGAAATAAAGGAGCCATCACCAGAAGCACAGTTGTCAGGTTCTTTCCATTTTATTTCCAGGACTGGTGCAAGGTCTCCTTAAACTCCCGTTTTTCTTAGGCCAAAATCATAAAGAGGACAAGTCCCTTTCATGTTACTGGGACATCGTGACTTAGGTCACGGAACTACTTCAGAAAGGCTTCCTGGTTTATATCAATTTAGGATGCTCAAGTCTACTTGACAGCATAAAAACATTGGGTTATAAGACAATTTCCATTAGAGTTTAAGCAACCTTTGTAATTCTGGAGTCTGTTTGGCTTTTTTAGTAATTACTTTTCCTTTTCCCAGTCCTTTTGGTCAGAGAAGCTCCACTTGCTAGAGAACTGAAAATGCTCAGTACTAAAATGATTAAAAACCCCAAACATCTCAGAGAGAACGTATAGAAGAAACATTCTGTCAGAGAGCAGAGAACAGCCTTCACAGCAGGTACTCTCGGTCTCATGCCTCGTGTTACGCCGTCTTCTGCTAGCAGAATCTGCAGCCTGAAGGTTACTGCCAAGCGAGCAAAAATTCCCTGCAGGGGATTTGAGAACAGCCATATTGATTCACATCCAGGTTCTCCCTGACTCCAACAGTTGCCATTATTAGATACCTGGGGAAACGTGAGAATAGGGCAAGCCGGTATATAATTCCCTAATGCTCTCCCAAACTCCAGCCATTTTCAGTTTAGGGGATTTTCTTAATTTAGGATTTAGTAACTACAGATACCTGTCTTTTCCAAGTACTTCTCCACTCTGACCTTAAACCCACCTAAACTTCTTGCACCGACAGTTAAGTATCTGTTGGCAAATGCGCCGTGAGTCCCATCTCCTTTGAATCCGGCTTCTCAGCCACCACCACGTCTGGCTGACCCCGCAGAGATGCACAAACACTCACTACAGAGCTTGCTCAACCGGCAGCGAGAAGGGTTTGCAAGCTGAAGCGTGTTTTTGAGTGAACCACGGCCAGGGAGTTAATTGTCTGAGCAGGCCCTGGCTCAGTGAGAGGCTACAGCCAGCGACAGCTCCTGTAACACCAACGCTGCTCACTGAAACCTGTCACTCCCACAGCTGTGGAAATGGAACAAGGTGAATTCAAGGCCTGTTTCATAATAAGAACTTAATAAGCACTGGAAAAAAAAAAAAAGGATTACTAACACTTAGTTAATTCTGAACGCTTTTCTATCAAGTTCCTGTCACCATTTCTTCAAGCTGAGCCGTTTACTGTCTCGCTACAGCCCGTGACTGATCATACACAGCGCATCGCAGCGCTTCTCCAAGGTTCAATTTTAACAGCAATTTTAACAGTAACTCCCGTTTCAGAGGGCTGGGCAGAAGGAAAGGGCCCCCCCACCCT